GTGCTCCTCGTATTTAAGTATGGAGTTACTCGCACACCTTCGTATAACGTCTTTGGCTCGTTGTTGTAAGACAAGAGGTTAATTATAAATAAAAGTGTAATTGATAGAATAAGTATCATGAAGTGGGTACAAAGGGAGGAGGGAATTAACAACAAAATTTGTATACCAAGTTCGATACTTGACCTGTAAAATTATGCATTGTTTTGAATTAAAATATGTATTTAAATCTTGAAAACAAATGCATGAATTTCGATTTTTACTTAAGTATGACGCAACTGAACTCTACCTACTAAAAAAGCTAGCTGCAATGCTGGCGAAACGTCAGAGTACCTTTCCCAAAGAAAGCATACACCCAGAAGCCTCGGTTGATCAATCATGCCTCGTGCATGAGTTCGTTTGCGTTCAATCAAAACGTGTTTTTTAGTGAACAAATGTAGTTCGTAAATTCAATGTCGAAACTGCACGGATACCGCGAACTGAATGAAAAAATAACTGTGCCGAAACCTGGACGCAATTTTCTACTTCAATTAGAATTCCGCAAATTGGAAAGTTTTTTTACGTTCCTCAAAACGAAATGTTCCTTCTTCGACGCGGAAGAAAATTCTTTCGCAATGAAACCTTTGGGTGGCGAAATGACCACGAAACTATTAAAGTTCCTGTAGCTTTCCCAAGGCAACCGTTTCAACATAAATTATGTGGAATGCGTTAAGGACGACGTTTATCTGTTGGAATGTTTAAGTACAAGTGTTGTTTGTTGGTGAATTTCACTTGCGAATCGGGTTAGAATTACAAGTTATATTGTAGAATATATAGTTTGAATGAGCATTTTTTTTACCAAGATGATGGTCATATCTGATTGGAACATATATAATTTATATAATATAAACGTTTCAACCTTCAGATACATAAAAGTTTGATTTGTTGATTTCTCTATGGACTTTTTCAATTAAAAAACATTTTTGAAGGACCTACAGTGGAACTTCTAGAACATAATTAAATTTCTAGTTCTGTAGTTGAATGTAAAACAATTATAAACTTCTTCTATCTAACACAACGCAACAACAAAAATAAATAATAGTCAAAATATCTATATCATCATTATATAATTTAAATTGTATTCTCAGTAAATTAACTATAAATAACAGTATAGTCAATGTATAGAATAGTTATTACTGAATTGAAAATTTTGAATAAAAACATCATTTCAGTAAACAAAAACATAATTAAGATTCCATGAACTATGCTTGTTCAGACTACATATGCTATAATATTTGTTTTTCAAAGTCCTATTATTTGAGGAACTGCAATTACCGAACCCGCAGTAAAACGGTGGCTTAAAAAACTTGCATCGAGGGATGAATCACTTAATGACGTGTCTCGTGAAGGAAAACCATCAAACATTGATGATGACCTATCAGAAACATTTAATTTACTATTTCGTTTAAATTATGTTAGTTATGTTCTGCATGGATTTGCAGAAGAGAACAAATTATAGAATCTAACAATTTGCTCGTTGCTAGCTTCGTATGAAAAAATTCTAAATTGCATGGAAACTAGACTCGAATACCTGTCTCATTTTCAAAGGTAAAGAATTTCATGGAACGAATGGTTGTAAACTTGTACCTTGTTGAGAAAATGTTACTATTGTAGGATGAAAATCAATTAAACATTCAAGGGCACTTTCTCAAGGGTGAGTAATACCAGACGCGACCTACTCTTCCGCCATGTTGGTTCGTTGGCTGTGGATTTACTCGAAAAGACACGGTAGCCAAAATGGTATAGTGAAGACAATCATTCGGTAGCCTTGGATAGCCACTCTGATACTAGTGAAATATCGAAACTATAATATCTGTCGAAATAAAACACGATCTGGCCAAGTTCCACAAGTGTTTCGATTCTATCTAAAACAGAAACGCGAAATTCCCAGGTCAAACTTTTGGCAAATAAATTTTTCTGACTTCACGGCATCCCAACTATACATGTAGACCTTATATAACGTTAAAATATTTTATTCGATTAGGAATGTTATTTAAATTTGAAACAGTTCAACTGTTCGAGTGTCTTTCACAAAGAACTCTGAGATCAACTCCGAGGAGTTTAAACTAATAAATGACTAAACGCTTCGAATAGAGAAGTGACGTATTTACCCTTAGCGGTTCAAAATTTAACTCGTAATCCTAACAAACTGTTTCAAACATTGGAATGAGGAGTAAACAAACATTATTTTTCCAGAAATACAATTTTTGTATAATTAATATTTTCACAGGCCGAGACAAAAAATTAAAATTTAAACGAATGTATGTCTTATTTTTGAAAAAATATAGATGTTTTATATATTCATCTATTAGTGCATATTCTCATAAACTTTCCCACATTTTCATTTGCCATGAATACATAAACGTCTGCGGTCTAGTAATAAAGTTTCTGTAAAGTTATTCGAAACAGGCGTTTCGCGAAACACGTCTTTCGCCCTCATAATCTATTTATCGGTTAAATTAGAGCAATCCCCTTGTGAATTTTTACTTTCGTTCTCAAATAAAAAAAAAAAAAAATGAATTTGTCGTTCTCAAACAAAAACAGAATGTTTTCGTTATGAGTAAACTTAGATACAAGTGAATATAACAAATACGTGCTAAACATAATCGAAAGGTATATGCACTCAGACGAAACGAAATATTAAATTATTATATTAATTAATACATTATATTGAACATGTATTATGTATATCCTTTGTATGTTTTCTATATTACGTTACGTCATAAATGCATAAAATCCAGTCTAGTTATGAGCTATGAGTAAACTGTAGATTTTATGCATTTGAGATACAAGTGAATACAACAAATATACAGTGGGCGTAGAATGTATTCGTACACCGATCAATTTCCCAAAAAATTTTTGTGTGAAATTGTAGTTTCTTAACTTCTTTTTTTAGGATCAATGATATTTTACATATCCTCGCAAGTTTCTAAGATAGATATAGTCCAAACAACATTTACTAGTTAATATAATTTGTGAAATTAACAAAAAAAAAAAAAAAAAATGCGAAAAGTGAGTAAAAGTATAGAATCAATAAGTATTTATACGATTCTTATGACGAACCATTTACAGTAGAGTTTGTAACGTAAACACATTAGTTTATTGCTCCGTACAAATTAGAAAACATTATATTTCCAGTAACTTTTAAACAGTTGTGCGAATATTTATTGCTTCAACATTTCTATCGATTAATTGTTTTTTTCTTGTTAATTTCGCAACTTACATAAATAGCTATTTTTTGTTGTAATCTATCTGTTCAAGAGATTTCCGAGAATATGTAAAATGTCATTGTTTACCAAAAATAAGTTAATAAATTACAATTTTACATAGTTTTTTTGGAAATTGATCGGTGTACGAATACTTTCTACACCTACTGTATGTCAAACATAATCAAAAGGTAAATGCATTTATCATATTAATTACAGGAATATATTCTACATGTATTATCTATATATTTATATATTTTCCGTATTAGTGCATGCCATAAATGTATAAATTTCCACGGTTTAGTTATGAGAATTGTGAGAAATTTGTATTTTTCTGTATGACGTGACAAGCATAAATAGAGTACAAAATTAAACAGAAATATACGTAGTTTATAGATCATCCTACTTTAAATTGAATTAAAAAGGTTAGGAGTAGACAGAAGCATTTTGATTCAATATTACAATTATCGTTTATGAATTTAGGTGAAGTACTTGGATGACGTAGCCAAATCTTGTACGTGTCTAGATAGGAAGAGTGCTTGAACCGCTAAAGATTAAACGTTCCCGTTTAAATGTGAAACTGAACCGTCGAGTTGAATTCATACCCGTAATCGGAGAACAGCCGATTGTTCGATTTGCCGCCTTCTATCGCCAATTAATTATCGGTGTCTAACGGTCGAGTCGACCAGCTACGCGACTACGTGAGATAAATCTCGTAAACTTGTACGTAAACGATGTTTTGCAAGTGCAATGACTGATATCAGACCCGAGATGGTCGGGGGACCGGATTCCCTTAAATGTTAAAGGACATTTGTTTCTCGATAAATTGTGCATCTAAAAACACGCGGCCCCGACCACGGGCCTGCCTTATTTACGATAACTATTAATTATAATGAGTATGTTGGCGTTGAAAACTTCATCAGTTGTTCCTTAAACGTTTACTAGATCGTATTTCAGATACAGATGATTAATCGATGAATTTAATTACTGATATCCCGCGAACCGAAAAACTTCAGCCACGCGGCACTTCCTTCCTTCCTCGACGTCATCGACCTCCATCGCCCTTAAAATTGTCTACCTGCCTTCTCGAATTAATTATATCTTGGTCCTTGAGTGCATTTATTTCTTTTTTTTTTTTTTTTTGCTTAAGTCGACTCTAATCAACCTCGCGCGAGCCTTACCCCACCCGCCGGACTTCTCTGACCGTGAATCGAACATTCCTATCGTAGTTTTCTTCATTTCATATCGCACCAATTGTTCATTCCCTGTCCCTGTCCGCATCACGGAAATCCCTTTCACGCGCGGAACATAAATCCCGCCGTTTTTCCCCGATAACGTCTAGATCCTACTTATTATCCTGGAAATATTTGCCGCGCCATCGAATACCGCGACTGCTAAGACTATCTCGCACATCGATCGATCCCTCACACCTACTTCGTATGGTCTTCTTAACGAGAATGAAATCTGATCAAAACTTTCCTTAACTTTCCTAAAGTTCCCTTAAGAAAACATCACCCTATGAAAGCTTCAGTGGACGAAAAGTTGAATCGTATCAACGAATAGTTACACGGCCGGTGGATTGGACGAGTTGTTCAAACTTGCTTGGCAACACGAACAGTATTTAGTAAAAGCTTCCAGGGTGATCGAAACGAGAGGGATGCGGTCTTTTAAACTCCGCTGTTGGGTGTCAATTGTCTTCAATATAATTATGAGGGATTGACATTTTGGAAGTGCCCTAACACAAATGTTAAAAAAAAGTAGCGCAATCAAGAGTAGTGCTCGTATCGGCAAACAAATTTGGACGATCTGCCCATTTTTTAGCACGTATTTATTCATCATTACTTAGAGCAACTAAACACATTTGTGTTTCTATGGCTCACGAAAGAAGTTCGGCAGCTTGAGAATTGTAAAATGTGAAATTTCATTGAAATAAAGTAGTTCGAGTGATGTTAGCAAAGTGACTATTACTTGTAATTCTTACTCTTAATTCTATTTTAGTATATTGTTGAAATCAAAACCATAGTAATGTCAATTAAACTGATAAAATGTTATTAAATGTCATTGAACGACTCATTTAACGATTTAATGTACGTATAATCAATGAAATATTACTGAATATTTGTATAGCTATCAAGAAGTGGCAATATAAAATTTCAAGAAATTTTTTCCTTGCATTAATAGCCACAATACAGTAGTCACAGAAGTATAAATTAATTTAAATTGTTAATATACGTTAATATAAAAATACAAATTCTTCGAAGAAATATTTTCGCAACCAAGACCATACCCTTCCTGACACAAAAAAAAATAACAATTACATTGTCAGCATCACTTGCATCGCATTTTTCTAAAAATTTCAAGCATTTTTTCTTCACCAGTTGCCAAACCTCCGTTTTCAGTGATTTTTATTCTTCATTTTCCTCGTAGTTCGTTGCCGATGCAAACCCGCTGAATCTTGATTCTCTTCCGTCGACTCGCCGTTCCCAGGGCGTCAACGAATCAACGATCAATACACGAAGTGAACCGCGAAACGGTAGCTAAGGATTACGATTAGGACCTTCTTCTCATTTTGTTCTTTAACGAATAGAAGCGTCGAGCTTGCGTTTGTCGCGATATCAAAAGACTGGTACGCGTGTCATTGCATTTGTTTAAACTCTGTGATCTGTCGTCACACGCATCGAGGTCTGGGAACTTCGCGGGCGCAGTTTGCGACTGAAATTATCGAGATCTCGTTTACGCGAACTCCTGAATGGAAATGTACACAATGATCTCACTACCGTGATTCGTCGAGGAAAATTGATTTCCTATCGGCCGTCGACATCGCAAGACATCTTCCTCTGGTAACATAGGAGGATATCGTGTCCTTCGACGTTCCGTATCGTTCCAGCTGGACTTCCTCACAGGAAATTGCTTCGAATAGGACTATGTTCAGCTTGAACGATCGCTGATTGAACATCAATCGCGTTGAAACGCGATTCCCCGAGGATCTCGAACTCTGAATGAGACGGATCGTATTCGAGTGAAAAGTAGCGTTTACCGGACAGCATTCTCGAGGAGGTAGATCACCTCGTGCCATTTCATTTCGTTCTTTATTTGATAGTTGATTGCGTGCGTTTAAGTTTGTATAATACGAAAAATTAGAAAATTCGTACAGAGAGACCGATTATTCGTCTTTGAGCGAGAAATTTCAGATTAAGGCTTCTCGTTAGGAAAAGCAACAGCTTTGCACAGGGTCTTGCAGATATTGAGAGGTGTCTGAGATCGTTTACCTCTGCGAAGATCAGACACTTTTTTAGATATTAAAAAGATCTATTAAAAAGATTTTGTTGCATAATAAATAATAGTATTAGTGCAAAGAGCATTATGACAGCTAGTTGGCCTCATCGATGAGGAAGAACTTATCAATTGTCCAGGAGATTAATTTTCCGAATAGTCTGTTTATTAGTTCAAACAGATTATTAGTTTAATCTACCGAAGAACGATCATTAATTACAGGTTCGTCTAACGATTAATGACGTCACGCTTATGTCGATAATCGTTAATCGTAAATGATAATCTGAGACTGGTATCAAAAGTAACAGGTGTCAGAAGTAACATCGATGATATTAGTGCAATACGTTATTTAATAATTATACCAAGCCACTATTTTCTTGTGTGAACGTAATGTCGTTTTGTAATTTTAAATACTTGTTCATCGTTCATCAGCTCATTGATTTTTATTGATCTGGCATTGAAAATTTTCATACTAGATGGTAAAATGCTGTTGATAACAAGGGCAACTATGTATATAATTAATTAAAAATAGAAATTTATTAAAAATTTGTTTGAATTTTATGTAAAAGAAACGACATCACTTTCCAGTCTACCTAATACATCATCAAGGCTCACATATTTATTGAAAAAAATTATTAACTGACATATCGAAATTAACAAAACTTTAGATTGTAGTAAAAGTAAAATAACTCATTCAAATTTAATTTCGTTTGACAGTTAGACAAATTACTTATTTTGTTGAAAACTAATAACAGATAGTTGTAAGTACAGAGTTCTTTTTAATCTGTAGCAGTTTTCAAGATATTGTTGAACTAATTTTTTCATCAAATTGTAACTGACATTAGTTTGTGTCAACTGTAACACTTTGCAAAAAGAGCAGTTAATTTCAATATATTATAATTACATTTATGAACAAAACGAATATAGAAAGTAACCCCATTGTTGAAGTGTACTAAAAACATTTTTTTCAAAATTTTATAATTTATATTCAATTAAAAAAAATAATACTTATCGATTATGTTACTTTTGTCTCCTCCTACTGTTAAATCCAATTAAATTCTAAATCGAAACACTCTTTGTATCAAACGTATTATTTACTATAATCGAACCATAAACTGATCTCAAGAGCATACAACCGCTTTAATCATCTGAATTTCGTCAATGCAAGGTTCTCATAAGTATATATCCCGAACCTACTGTGTGCTAGGCTCTGATTTCACGCTCGAAGACTTGTTGTTTACTCGTCCAGCTTAAACGGAATTACTGTGGTGTTTGCGTATTCCAACTGTTGCTCTCGCAGCAAAAACTCGAGAACAAAAGCTTGGTCCCACTGTTCAAGCTCTGCGATCATCCCTGTTTAATCCCCGTTCTGGCAAAGCCTTTCGTTGGGAGAAGTTTGCAATAGCGGCCTAGCTGTATAGTACAGTAGCGATATCTTTAACATCGAACAGTCTTAAGTAGCTGCCTCGAGCGATCAACTTATGAGATCTCGATAACTCTCGAAGTCTGACCGTCAAAAATTCAAGCTCGGAGTTTCGTCTTACTTGTTAGCTTATCGTAGCGGTACTTAAGTTCGAGGAACATCGGCTTCCGTTATAAGATATGGAAAATCGCTGGCGGAATATAATCGAATGTTTTATCAACTCGAAGTACATTATTTCTCTGTGATTAATTCCTTTCTCCTCTTTTACCTCCCCCCTCCCCCTCACCCCTTGCTCAACATCCGTTCCCTAACATCTAACTCACATTCTTAAACGATTTCTGAGCAAATTCCTGTCACCGTCGAGCTCGTTCAATCGATTGTTGCTGATCCGTTCGTGCCGATTGACATAATTAATGTGAAAAAGGTAGAAAGCACACCGTTTATCCACGATACCGAGTTATAAAAGCACTCGTTGTGGTGGAAGTCGCGTCGCCGAATTTGCTCCCGATATGAGATCCTTGTATGTGAGACGATCGTTCGAATCTCGATTGAAAGGACGTCGGAGCTTCCCCAGCCGCCTAGATCCTGGATACGTAGAGAGGACGATGAGCCTGCTGGGGATTCCCGTTCTGTTTCGAGTATCGAGGGTTCTGCAACAATTCTCTAGTCTCACTCGGCGAGCCTGGACTGAGGCTGTTGGTCGTCGAGGTCTCGACGCGATCGCTGATGATCTCCTCCTCGGTGATCTGTTCGAGGTACAGAGCCGACTGTACGGCCTGGTGATCCCCGTTCATCGTGGGTGGCGGCGAGTAAGCTGGCGGAGGACTTCTAGGCGGAGACGCCGAGTCTTTCTCGTTTTCCGTCTCGATGGAAGCGCTCGAAGCAACCTGCTGCAACTGTCTCGCTCTTCTGGCGTGCCTGGTGGTCAATCCTCCGGTCTCGGCGTCCCTCTCCAGCCTGTGCCCCGACCTGGATCTGGTCAGTTGCCTCTGCACGTACTCCTCCAAGTCGTTCTCTTCCTTTTTAGCGATCACTCGGTTCAGGATGATCAGAAAGATCCCCACCAAGATGGCGAACAAACCGATCGCCACCAGCTCGTTCCACCAACCTCCCGACGCCTTGGTGCCCCACTGGGCTAAATCTCCTGGCAGCAAACCGCTCATCAGAAGGAAACCACCGAGGACCAGGAACACCACGCCGATGTGGAGCATCCCGATCGACGTGACCACCTTTGTGTCCAACATGCCTTGGCCTGCTGAACGGTTCGGGTGTCCAGATTTGTGGTGTCTCGAGTGATGGTCCAAGGAACCGGTCGATGCTCTGGGCGATGTCAGGCCGCTCTCGCCAGACTGCGCGCTATAACGGCGCTCACGGGCGCGACGCTGCTCATCCCGACGGTTTCTTTGACGCTTGATGGCCAGCGCCGAGTGCAATCCAACCGCGTGCATCCTGCAACACCGGAAAGATAACCCTTGTTCAGTCAATCCTCTACAATTTTCTACCGAGTATTTACACCGTTTCTTTTCTAGCTTTCTTTCTTTTCTTTTCTTTTCTTTTCTCTTCTTTTCTTTTCTTTTCTTTTCTTTTCTTTTCTTTTCGTTTCGTTTCCTTTCGAATCTTTCGCTCTGTTACTCTATCGACCGTGAACAGGCGAGGTGGGCACCCAAAAATTATCCGGAATTATTTATTTCTGAACATGTTTATCGAATTACATCGAACGTTTCAATCATGAGGTTTTCTGGTCCTGCCCAGAAACGAGAATATATTTAGTACTGGGAAACGATAAGTAGTTGCGGTTATTGTTAGTCCTTGTGTCGAATATTTAACAACATTGTGCATCGGACAGTTGTGATAACTAAGGACAAGTCTACGAATTTATTTATATCTGAATAGGACAAATTTGTCTATTGTTATCGGATGTGTATTCCTTCGCTTGACTGGAAATTAGAAACACCTGTTTAAAGGTTGGCTCTTGTGTGAGAAGAGGAGCTTCAAACAATGTTCCTAATTTGCGAGCAATAGGAATGTACACCAGATAATAGTAATCAAATTTGGCCTACGCAAAATATAAACAAGTTTTCACAATTTCTTAAAATGTAATTTCTTTAAATATGCGACACATTTCGAAACGAGGACTAACAAATACACTAATTACTTTTCGTTTCTTATGGTAACTAAATATATGTTGCTGAGAAGGGCCCGGAAATTTCATGAAATTGCAAACTTTAACTTTAACTATTTATATAACCTTTATTTACTATCACTGGGTCATATTCAACCCGAGAGAAGAAAATTTCTTTGCTTAAAAGCAAGTATCAGAGTACACGACCTCTAGATTAAGTATTCTGTCTAATTTTAGACAGTGGATACTTAGTTTGTTTAAAAACAAAGAAACTTTCTTCTTTTAGGTAAAATATACCCCAATGGGTAAAGGTTAATAAACATGTGCGTAAAAATAATTCCAGTTATTTTTGGGTACCCTCTCGTATATTGAGACGAGCATTGAGTGATTAGCTTGATTTCGTGCAATTTTGAAAATGCAATCGCGGATTCCAGGCACTGACGTCAGTTAATATCGTTACGCAATTATTTTAACCATTCTACGCATTCGACTGCATGCATTCTGTAACCATATACCATTAAACGGGTTTCTTTATTGTTCTAAACAGCAAATAATTGCTTCAGCGCCAAAGCAATCATTGTTGGCAATTGAATTGAACGTTGAAGATCTGATTTCACGTGAATTTATCGTGCTTCCGGCACAACAATGCTCGTCTCCATTGACGTCTGTCTACCTTTTTGGGTTTCATCGATCGTTCGACTAGCGTACGTTGGAAAATTTTTAATCCTAAAAGGCTGTACAGGGTTTGCTCACAGGGTTCACAGGATGCACTGCGATAGAGTCACGCGTTATAATTTTCTACACGCTAAATGGATTACCAAAAAGTCTCCATTGGTGTCGTTGGACCTGTGAACATTTCTTCTTGCACGTTACGTTTAATTTTCCTTAAAACGGGCGCGATGCCTAGCGACATGAAAAAAAAGGAAATGAGATGAATGTTTCATTTAAGTTCTCTACAGACGTTTCAATTGAAAAGAAAAGGATGAAATTCGGTCGTCGTCGAGTCTTTGTGCATATTTGGAAAAGACTTGCGGACCGGAAGGTATAGGTCAGACGCTCTATTGTGCTGGGGTTTAATTATGCTGTTACACCAGGTATCGTCCTTTTTTCCCCTTCTCGGTGCACATGCATAGAATGGATATTTTATACGTGCTCCAATTGTTATTAATCATTCATATGGAATTTTGAATATGAAATTCATTTAAGCCTTTCAAAATTTTACTCGCAAATCTGGTATTGAATATAATAAAAAGGAAATATTCGACTTGGTTAAAATTTTGCTGTACCCCACGTCGCAATCAGTGTTTACATTTTTTGATATTTTACAAATTTCTGTACGTAACGATGGTATTTGCATTATAAATATTCTTCTACTGATATTTACATTTTAAATTGTCCTAACGAATATAGAGATTTAATTGCTCTTTATTTAATTGCTTTAAAATCTTTACATTTTATTACCTTATTTATAATTGGGGAATATTTTTGACACTTTATGTGAAACAGATTTTTGACGTTTATTAATGTCATGCATATTTCTGTTCAATGAATTGCATAATTGATTTCATTCATATTTTTGGAAATATTAATATTAAAGGTTAACCTTTTTTCAGTTTTAAGGTTTGTTGTTAAAAGTTTCATAATGTGATACGTCCTGAACAAAAGCGTTGCCAGGAACTTTTTTAAAAGGAACTTTGAACAAACTGCAAATATGCGATGCGAAATGTATTGGAAATTATTCACATTAAAATACTATGCATACATAATAATATGGTGTCATCGAGTTTGACACGAGTAACGATCAATATCACCAAACGTTTACTACTATCACAAATGCTTGAGAAATATTGGTCAACAAATATTATAAGAAGTTGGTTGAAAAATACTAGTCTACATTATCAGCTAAAAACTAACAGTCTCAACTTGTATTCTTCACGGAAGAATCCTGTTAATGAAAACATTGCAAATGAAGAAATCTAATAAGCGGATACTCGTTTAAAACATAACTGTATTAAGTGTAATCATGTTTCCAAGAATCTTCTGGAGCAGAAAAAAAATGTATTGAAGCCTGTATCTAAATGAAAAAGGTAAATTAAATAACTTGATCTATCAGTGATAATACTTTGTGGAACATCAGGTTGGCAAGAGCTTCGAAAGCATTTTTAATATTGACTTTATGACGTCACCTTCCATAATATCGTTACGACTGCTTTTAAGAACCCAAACGGTACATTTAAAAGCCGCTTTTTATGTTAAAAAAATAGAAGAGACTGTCGATATAAAAGAAACCTTGGAAACATTTTTCGAGATTTCTTTCATTTTCAATTGCTATTGAACGGCAGAGCTTATCAGTAACTTGTATAGGTCAAACGTATACAAATATAGTAAACAAATTAAGTGGAGGGTGTTCCAAAGATTGCTTCATATTTTGACAAATCAGTTTGGATTTTGATTCAAGCGTTAGTGAAATATTTTTAGAAAAACTTTAAGAATGATAGGAAAAATAATGTTTAAAAAGAAAAACATAAATGTCATTGTCCCCATCATTTTGTTATTTAACTAAGTAAAGAAATCACTGTGTAGTTTGATTGGAAAAAGTTGAAAGAAAAGTTAAAAATATAAAAGCTTGGAACTGTTTAAACGACTTCCGTTCCGAACTTCCTCTCTCCGCAAACCCGTTTCCGCTTCTCCAAACAATCGATCCTTCGTTTCTTCAAGCAAAGAAAATTTCATACTTATTATATATGGTGCGTGACAAGAATTGCGAGCGACTTCTAAGATTTATTTTTGATAGATGTATATATCGCGAAACTTTACGATACGTTGAGGAAACACGAAAGTGAATAAAATTTCGATAAGCATCGAGAATTTGTGATATTATGTTCCATGCTTTCTATTGTTTTTCATTCCCTTTCATTTTGAATGTTATCATGTACCGAAACAAAAATCGGACCACCTCAACTGGGCGATATTCAGATCATCGACGAGTCTTTTCTAACTATCTTTTCTATCTATCTTTTCTAACAATAAGTCTCATAACGCGCTATGGCTGCAGCAGCCTACAACTTTATTACACCCCAGCCGTCATGCTGGAAAGATGAAATTTCGATTTAAATGTTGGAACACTTTTATTGAAACTAGACTTCAGGTTTCAGTGGCGGGACCTGAAACAATACATTATATGGACAAGTGTTTGCGATAGAATTTAATATGTTTATGGAATAAACGTACTAAAAATACAAAGTTATAATATATAATATTATATATAATAGTTAAAGTTATAATATGAATTAAGTATATGTCATTTATATATACAACTTGGTCATTGTTGCGCAATGGCGAATCTTTTCTATTTTAGAGATGTTTTTATGAGTTACACTTTTAGTGCTTGAGTTTTGTTTCAGAGTGTAGTCAGGAAATATCGCGGAGTTCTTCTATACTTTGACAATTATTTTCTTTGATAATATATTACTATGGCACGAATACCATATGTACCTCCCAATAAAAAAATTGAGAACTATTAAAAATTGCATATTAAAGAGTTTAACTCATGATACACACGTGAAATTTTCATCTTTCCTCAAAATTTCTTTGAAAAATAATAATTATTGAAAAAGTCATAAGTAGACTGCAGATCTTCATGCAAAATAAAATCTATGCAAACGTACCTACAAAAAATGGAAACAAATATGAACTTATTTTAATCTGCAAATGTTATAATGTAAATTTTATTTCCGTTATTTTATTATATTATTGCATACTGTAAGCATTCTGTAGTTCCTTGCACATTTAAATTTTCTATAAATGCATAAAAATCTGCGCTCTAGTTATAACAGTCGTTTTTAACGTAACGCAATTAAAAGAAAAGTGTTGAAACACAAAATCTTAAAACCCCTTCTGCAAAATTCTTTACCAGGTCTAATCGTCATCCAATATTATTTGTTATAAGATTTTGTTTTACTTCCTTTGAGGATCACCCCTAAATTTCCGAAAAAGCAGTGTTTTAATCAATTTTGATCAAATTAAATACAATTTGATGACATTTATATCGATAATCGAACGGGAAATAGAAATTTTTAGTTTTTTGCGTCTCCTGAAAACCTAGGTTTTTTTATACAAAAGTACATTTTCCTCAGAAACGGTTAAGCCGATGTGAACCCTTGCACGCGTTTTCTGATAGTTGGGCCTAATTTACACCGACGATTTTTTGGAAATTCCAAATTTTCTACAAATGTGTAAATTTGAAAAAAAAATTTATAGGTTTGCGCGGCGATAACTTTTTTTGAAATCAAAATATTGAAAAATTCCTCGGTGTAAATTAGGTCGA